CACGTGCAGTCACATGGTCAACTTCCTGAAGCAACACCAGTAACCGTAGCTCCAAGAGTACATCGCACGACATAAGCCAGGGTGTGGATATGACAACCTCTTGAAACTCCTTCTGGAGTTTTGTGGACGACATGGATACTGCCACCAACAGGCGACAATTTCGAAGACAGTCATCAGTGACTTGGAAAGCACACGTACCGAATTCGCAGCCCGGTTCTTCGACCAACACGGCGACGATTTTGATTCAATGCTGATGAGACTGGGATTGTAATGATGGCAAGGCTGCCGACCAAGAATACAGCTTGTCACATCGTTAAGAAAACGATGGCAAGACTGTCGAACAAGCTAAAGATTGTCGCACCATTAGCGGTCAAGGCCGTTGATGAAGCCGTAGAGAAAAAACATTTACTTCATGTAGTTTATTATAGTATACATGTTTGTAGTTAGTAGTTTAAGACGACAATCTAATCACTTTCCAATTTACTCTGTGAAGCTCGCTACCGATACATTTGGTAGCAATTTCTGGTTCAGTTCGGCAGCAAGGACTTACACTGAGGGGCATAGCTCGGAGGTTGTAAGGTTACTCAATCTAGTTCAGGCAAAGGTTCAGTGGCGACCTTTCATAGCGACTAGTGTCGAGTTAGCGATCGCCTAAGTGTTTCTTTTCCCTCGACAGTACTCTCCTTAGTATCCGGCATCAGGGTCGATAGGGGCAGAGTCGACCGTTGGGAAAGGGACATTTGGTGCGTCTGAAGAGTCACTGCCGACAAAAAAGTAAGCGACTGCGGCGAGTGGGAAAGTCAAAAGCGGAGCGAGCGGCAGTGGCAGTGGCGAGCGAGAAGGTTATCCAGCGAGACCTACGCAGCGAGAACAGCGACATAAGTAGTAACCGAATTAAGTACTCTCTCGACGAAAACTTAGCAACTTCCAAGCAACTTTAAGTCTGTCGTCCGGATACGTAACCGAAGCGATTGACGCGCATTTGTTGGCGAGACCGAAGATCGAAGTGAAGAAGCCAAAGGTCAACACTAAAGAAGACTTAGTTGA